GCTTAGATTATTGGTTGTCGTCAAGCAATTCAGTTGATAAACTGAAGCCACAAAGGAAAACTTTTACAATAACTATTTCTAGGTGTATGTACAGAAATTTGGTCCAGGATCACTTTACAACCATCTTATAAAAGTAATCATATGAATAACAAAAACTTAGTAACCATGTTCTCCCATGATCAAAATGGACATGATGCCAATATGAGAACATGATGCCAAAATGTCATGTCTCTTGTACGAAGCACCCCGACAGACAACAATGTTTGGCGGCACAAGTGGCGTGACACGACACCGGCGAAGTTCGCCCCCACATCAACTTTCATCCATCCTTCACCACCAATCCATGCCTATACCAATGTAAATAGACCATAAGTGGAGCTCCAAACGATCTCGTCCATCAAAGCATATCAAATCCAACAACCTAGGTTACTCCGATATGTCGAGGGCCCAATATGTTAATCGTCCAACATGTTTAGCACACAATTGATATCATATCTAATATTAATGCTAGCACAAATCACATTATTGTAACACAAATAATATCCGCGAACCAACCTATGGTTGGATGGTTAGAGGGACAGTGGTATCCCCAGCCTACCAGGGTTGAAGTCGTGGTGTTCGCACTGTTCCTGGATTTATTTCAGGATTTCCGGCGATGCGCTTTCGGTGGGAGGAGACGTTCCCGTCGACTACGAGGAGCATATGGTGACTTCGTAAATCTCAAGTTGAAATGTCGGCTCAGTCTTTTGAAGGTGCTCATAGGGGTATGATGGGCGTGTATGCATTTATAGAGGTGAGTGTATGCACGTATGTATGAGCGCTCGAGTCTGTATTGTGTTATAAAAACACAAATAATATCCTATCTAATATGAATGTGCAACTTTTTTCTACATAAGTAGGACAATGTCGTGTGTTGCAATGTGATATAAATATTCTAGTATGTCAGTCCGTGATTAAAGTAAGATTCCGACATAAAAATACGATTGTGTAAATAAATGTTTATCAAATCCTGTCTATGATTTATTTTATATTTTGATGAGAAGTTTGGTAAGTAAATTAAAGTAAGACTGGTTTAGAAGATAAGTAAATTAAGGTGATTGATTATTATATGAAAAAGGTTGGACGAAAGGTTGATGGGAAGAAAAAGTGAAATATGAAACCTTATATTCTTTTTAAGTAGTACTAGCATATATGCCCGTGCATTGCAACGGGACAAATAATTTGAAACCAGAACATTTTTTGAAAACATGAACCTTTTATAAAAATCATGAATATTTTTTGACTTTGGGATTGTTTTTAAAAATAGGAACATGTTTTCAACATTCGGAACAACTTTAGAAAATGTGCTTTTGAAACACGAACATTATTTTCAATTTTTGAACATTTCAGTAAAATAAGAATATTTTTTGAATCTTGAACATTTTTAAAATGTAACTGTTTTTTGGAAATCTCAAACAAATTTGGAAAATACTACTCCCACTGTCCCATAATATAAGAGCGTTTTTGACACTACATTGGTGTAAAAAACGTTCTTATATTATGGGACGAAGGGAGTATCATTTTATGAATTTTGAAGAACCTTTGGAACGATAACAATAAAATAAAATGTCAAAAATAAAGTTAAAACAGTATTTGTTTCAAAATTTTGAAAAGGTTTAGAAATTTTGACCAAAATTGAAATTCTGGAAATTTTGAATTTACAAAAAAAGCGAAAAAGTAAAATAATTTTCCAAAGCAAAAAATAAAAAATAAACAGGAAATAAAAGGAGAACAAAAACTACAGAAAAAAAGAAAATGTCCCGGCTCAGTCTTGGCTGTCAGGTGCGAAGTCCTCTCTATATGTTACACTGTGCAGCAAATAGGATTTTACCCACCACGTGGGCAGTAAATTAAGTGGGCTGGCTTCACTGGGTCAGAGCGCGTGTGGCCCATATACGAAATTCTGAACAAACCATTATTTCTTTTCTAACAGGAGGAGGCACAAAAATTAGTACGACCTCGAATAAAAGAAAAATCTTTCCGGTGATGAACGGATGAAAAAAAACTCAAAAAAAGCACTTTACTTTATTAGTAGATATAGAGATAGAGATAGATATATCATGCCTCTTTTCATTCGTAGAAACAGAAAAATCATAGAAAATAAAATGACGTGTAGCTCAATTATTATATGAAAAGAGATGCCGCCGGTTTCATATGATATGGATTTTGTATCCACTGTTTTTTCCTTTAAAATGTGAATGATAGAATACATAAGAATATCAATCCATTCTTACAAAGTAATTACATTTAAAGAACAAAATTCCTATAAAAAATATACTCTTTTCGTTCTAAAATAAATGCCACTGATTTTGTATAAAGTTAGTCAACACTTATTCTAGGACGGAGTATCAGTTTTAAATTTCCATAAAATTCCTCTAAACTATGACTATACAGGAGGCCTAGGGCAGAGAAGAAAGTAAGGGCAATCCAGTCATTTCAGCAGCTCCGGATGTGGGTCAAACCCAGCGGACCACGCCAGCACAGCCGGGTCGTCGTGCGTGCCGCGCGCCCCACTGCGCAATTCCTCGTGTTCTGCCAGGCGGGAGTTCTCCGAGGCCATTGGAGGCCCCATCGAGAGGGCAGCAAGAGGCCAACCAAAACCCCCCTCCGGAGGGAAAAACGCTAAAACCCGCGTCGCCCTCGCGGTCACGGGCCACACCACTACTCCCCCCCGCCGTCACGGTTTCCATCCCTAAATCCTCCCGACTCGCCATTGTCCCGACCGACCCCGCCTCCCCCGCGGCCTTATCCTATTCCTATTCGCCCCCGCCGCCATGGAGGCCGTGCGCGCGTCGGCGGCCTGGGTGGCCAGCCGCTCCTCCCACGTCAAGGTCGACATGCTAGGTATCCGTTTCCCGAATGACACTGGATTTTTTCGACCAGGGCGTATCGTCTTTGTAGGGATTTTTTTTTCTGGAACGGTACTAGGATTTCTCAGGCCACGCAGTATCATCTTCACAGGCTTCGAAGTTCCTGCGGGTTATTAGTCGATTGTATTTCTAAGCAGTATGTGATTGACCCTGCAAGAAACGAGAGTTAATTTTCTTGTTCTAGGATTGGACTTCAAATGTTCAGTTTCTAGATTCCCGCTCTCTTAGTTGGTGCTTCTTATATGTTGTTTTGGTCAGCCTTCACCATTTTCTGATGTTTATATCAATGTTTTTGCTTTGCTTTCATATGTTTATATCAATGTTCATCCTTCGTTTTGTGACAAATGTCCCAAGTGAAGTTCTAAGTTATGTTCCTCTTACCCGTTTGTTCGTTTCACAGAGATTGAGAAGGCTGTGGACAAAATTCAGGGGAACGTTCCAAAAGTTGAGTGGGATTTCGAAGGAATCCATTACTTTGACAATGGTCCGCTCACTGTGCAGTACCTCTTCGTCTTGGACGCGCTGAACTTTTGCTTCTGGCCAGGTATTAGCTCAGCCAGGAACGTACTTGGTGTTTTGAACATGAAGAAATTACTTGAATGATGTATTGTCCTTATCTTATGAGTGGTACTTTTCTTAAGGAATTCTGAAAAATATTAGCACTAACAGACATCAGACATTGCCACTCTATGTTTGCATTTCTTTTGCTCCTGTATAAAATATTCGTATGTTGTTTCTCTTGTATAGCATAACACGTGGTTAGGGGAGAGGAGGGACGGTTTATTTTTCTTTGCTTACTTGTTGACAATGTTTAGGGATATTAAGACATTTGGTCGTGCAGCCAGTATTATTCTTCTCATTGACTTCAGGCTTTTTAGATTTTCAGAGTGCCGAAATCAATTTTGTATTGCCTGAAAACAATGCACTAGTGCTTACACCACAAGGAACTTATTGTTATTTCTAATTTAGTATTTTTTTTGTTAGTAGCTATATGTGAGTTTCCTGGATCAACAACCTTCTATGTTGGTTGCTACGTTGCCAACAAGTGGCTAGGGGAGAGGAGTGGCGGTTTATTTTTCTCTCTTTACTTCTTGACAATTATTAGGGGTATTAAGATGTTCAGGCGTGCAGAATTCCTCTTCTCGTCACTTTAGGTTTTTTTAGATTTTCAGAGTGCAGAAATCAACTTCGCATTGTCTGAAAACTATACACTAGTGCTTATACACCACAAGGAACTTCTGGATACTAGTTAATTGCCTGTGTGTTGCAACGGGGGCATCAATATTCTAGCGATCCTCCAGTACAACGCTCAGTGATACTTTCCAAAATTAACATGATCCTCCCGTTCAAAGAATGATACTCTCCATAGTTAACGTGATTCTAACATCCAATGCTCGATGATACTTTCCATAATTAACGCGATCCTCCTGCCCAAAGACGGATACTCCATAATTAACATGATCCTCCCGTCCAAAGAATTATACTCTCCATAATTAATGTGGAACCAACAAACATACGAAACCAAACCAAACCACGACGTACCATCACGACTGCAAACTCCCTTTTAACAGTAGAGATTTCTACCTTAAGTATTTCTTGTTAGTAGCTACACATGATTTTCCTTGGATCAACAACCTTTTATGTTGGCTGCTATTTTGCCAACAAGTGGCTAGGGGAGAGGAGTGATGATTTATTTTTCTCTCTTTACTTGTTGACAATGACTAGGGCTATTCAGAGAATGTATTTTTCCCTTAATTATTTTTTGGCTGCGACTATCTAGCCCTAGGTAATAGATATTTCTCTTGGCTGTTCTTCACTATATTATTGAGCTTATTTTAACAAAATCCTTTGAGTTTTCTTCTGCTATATTTCAGTTGTTACCTTTGTTTGCAAATTACAGTGCATCTTGATTTTGTTACACTCCACATTGTTACTTTTGTGTAGCTCAAAATATAATGTGCACAAGCTTTTATTCTACCTGATGTTCCTTAGTTTCTCTACTGGGTTTAGTTGGATTTAACTGCAATTGACTTCTCTGGATCACTCATTTTATTTGGATAAATGCCTCCCCTTTCTGTTATAATGTGTTTTACTATACTAATGATATTCCTTAATCGAATAGACAAGGACTTGACCTATGACAATTTGGCTTCTGGACTTAAGTTAGCATTAGAGAAAGATAAGTCAGCACTTGATGCAGATCGTCTGAAGAATTATACTGGTACAGTTTCCCTGTTTCTGTGCAAAAGAAGCTATAACTCCCAGTAATTCCCACTAATTGGAAGAAAATGCAACTTATGGAAAATGTAGGACCACAACTTCGAGAACTGCTGAATTGGCCGCGCCCACTGCCAATTGAGGAGGAAAGAGTCCGCCTTCTTCATGAGGTACTACACTGTGTTGCTTATTCAGTATATTGAAGTGTTGGACTTTAAATTTTTCCCACTGTGTTCTGCTCAATTGCTCATATTATTTGAATACTTTGTCACTTAACAACTACAAAAGTCACGCCCATCTTCTTTAGTGCAATTAGGCATAGCTATCCACTTTTACTTCAAATATGCTCTGATCATATTCCATCAGAACTATCATGTTAATGTCGACATTCAAATAACTTCTTTGCCAACTGATCTCAATTTGGTTCTGAAGCATTTATTTGTTCTGGTGCTTTAATTCAGGTTGGCCTGGAGCTTGAAAGAAGCTTTGGCGGCGAGGCTGCTAATCTTGTGAAGTCTGCTGGAAACTCTGCTGCATCTCTGATTGAACTGATTACCCGTCACTTTCCTGGTAAATCAGCCACTGCACTTGTCTTCCACTTGATCTTGATAGCATCATTATTTTAGAGGAAAGGTGTCGCCTGTGCCGGTTCCATTTCATTTAATGGAACCAAGTTCGAACATGGCAGCGCTCAAGACAGACCAGAGTAGCCGTCCAGATAGCGGAGATAGCATCATTTTCATCTGTCCTGTTTTAGTTAGGCCAGATGGCTAAGCTGTATTTCTCCAGCTATATTGGAGAACAGGAACTCAATGGTGTACAATCTTTTCGTTGGCTCCTGTTTAGTCTGTTGTTGTAGTCAAATAGCTGCTTCTGCAGATACATTTTACTATCTTGGAGACCTTGGTCCTTGTCCCCTGTCTAGTCATTGGATCATTTGTCAAATGGGCCAATTAGACGTGGGCAGAAACAATGAGAGAAATGCAGAACTTGCCTAGGTGGTTAGGACCACTGGATATGCATAATGGGCTGGGCCATGGACATCCACATAGGACCACAAGCTATGGATGATCTTTACGTGGCTACAGCTTACACCTCAGTTAGCTTGCATCCTAGATGTCCCTACTTTGGGATTTGGATGTTTGTTGATTGAGAATACTGAGCATTATTCTTTTTCTTTTCTACTCAGTGGTTAGATCATTGAACTTACGAGACAATTTGCTGTAGCATGAAGTAACTATCTGCTCAGACACGCCTTTAACTCTTGGCCAGTCGGCCTCATTTTGTTCTGTGAACATGCTCGAGGGAAACTTCACCAGAGCAGATGCACTTCATTCCTGGTTTTACTTGCAAATACAACATTGAATATTGTGCGTATGCGCTCCCACCCCAACCCCTAACCATCATGCTAAATAGAAAATGGCCAGACACGATTTGGTTCATCTGTACATCCTAATATTATTTTGTACATGTGTGAGTCATTCAACCAATACCATGTGTAATTATGGTGATACTGATAGATGGTAGCCACTGTTGTCCAAGTCCTGACTGCCGATATGTTTTACTTTCTTTTCTCATGCATACTTGGTCATAATTAAACTGTACCTTGAGGAAAATTTCACTGCAGACTGGTTGTAACACTCTTGAACATACTTATTAGAATGCATCTATCTGGCATGACAGATTTGTTGTAACTCAATTTTGACAGGCTTTCGAGATCACTCACTTTACAAGGGACACCAGGTTTTCCTGTACAAGCGAGCCCAGATATTCGTTGCTGATTTGTGGGGTGCTTTCAAGGGGGAAAACTACGGAGAGTTCTACGACATCAAGTCCATCACCATCTTTGCCGACTATATTGTCCCTGCTGTACTGAGGGAGCTTGGCATACTGAAATACGAGTCGAGTCTATGTTGCTCGATCGACTCGAACAGCGAGATTGTGCCTGGAAGCGAAGAGGAAGTGGAGATTCGTGCTTGTTCTGTTCATGCCGTTGAAAAAATGAGGGAACTCATCAACAAAAAGTTTGGGAAGCAGGTACGGGCATCTGAATCTCTTCCTCTCTTTTTCGAATGACCACATCTGAATCAGGTTCACCTGAGGCTTTCATGCCATTTATTCTCTGACCTGCACTCCTGGCTGGTACACAACACAAACTAACGGCTGCAGATTGGTGTTTGGTTGCACTCTGTATTATCACTGAAAAAATAACCGATGAAATTCATTAAGTTTACTTGAGTGCACGATCAAATTCATTATGTTTAACATCATTAGGTTTCGTAAGCAAAGCAGTCAATGTGTGTAGCATTTGATTCAACTCGGGCTGACTCCGCTCTTGCTTTTGTGTTTTTCCTGGCAGCTTCTGAGCATTGACATTGACCTCTGGCTCTGGTCGGTAGGCGTTCAGAACATGGCGCTGTCTCATCACCGCACCCTCTCCATTTACTACTGAGACTACGCTAGCAGCAGCTGCCACCCTCCCTCTCCGCGGCGGAAGATCGGCCGCGTCTTGGGGATCTCCTTTAGCTGCTGCTACATATGGATACTGAAATTTTGTCCCTCTCCGAGGAGTGCACAAAAGTGCAAGCTGTCGCTACCGTAGGGTCATCAAGACTTATAGGTAGAACTGGTGTTACTGCGTCTATGTATTGTGGTGGTAGTCCCAAACCATCTTTTTGTTTCATCCAATCTAAAAAAAAAAAAATCTGCGCTTTGTCCGAAATTCAACCAGCGGCTATCATTCTAGAAAGCGGCCCAGGTTAGGGCATCTCCAAGTCCATCGAAACGGACACCCTAAACATTGGTGGACACGTCCGGACGTGTCCATGGACAGCGCTTGTGGAGTCGGTCATCCAATCCCATACATCAAATGCCCGTCCTAGGTTCCTTCTCCTCCATTTGACATGCACATATAGATCAATATTAATTTATACAAAGTGCAAACATATGCAATAACAATCAAAATGCGTCGATATTTGATATTCATAAAGTTTTGTACGTTCAAGCCCAAAAATTGCCAGTCCGGTTGGCGCCAAACATCCTCCCTCTTCCTCTATTTGCGGAGGCGGGTAGTGCGCGTCGCCGTGTTGGCTTTGTGAGCGGCCACTACTCGCGGGTCCTTTGCCTCTAGGCCTGGCGGGACTAAGAACATCTCTGCCACCACCTCCTCCTGTTCCATTGCGGTGGTGGACTGTGAAACAAAACGGGAACTCAAGTGCATAGCAGCAGCGAATGGAGTGGAGATAGTGGGGGAAAGGGCGGCTTTCTTGCGAAAACAGTGCGGAAGCGGCCAAATACGCAGGCTCCGTCTTGCTTTTGTGTGGGACAGGGGTGTTGGATTCCGACGTGGCGGCTGTCCGGATATCAAATCTTTTTTAGGTTTGCTTCGGTCTACCTGAATTTGGACGCACAAACAGATTAAAGGAATAGACAGCGTTGAAGGCCTCAAAATGTTCGGACAACATGGTCCGAACGTTCTTGCCAAAAAAAAAAACATGGTCCGAACGTTATGGACGGTTTGATTCACGACTTTGGAGATGCCCTTAGATTTACTTTTTTGAGACACTGGAGATGCCCTTAGACAACAACTCCGTAGCCTACGTGTGCCCATAATCGCATGTCGAGATTTGGTCGGTAGGGAAGCAGCATTGGAAAAGACGTGCCCGATGAATGAAATGAAACGCATCTCGTCTACAATGTTCCCTGTCCTCCGTTGCTGCTCTAAATTCCGCCTGCCCGCCGCCTTTGCGGGCTTCTGCGGTCTCAAGCATGGGCGCAGGTGACCGGTCCGTGTCCGCCGGGTACTAGTATGTGGTAGGTCTGGAGGTGTCAGGGGTGTCGTGGCCTCTGAGGCAGCGCGAGGAGGCGCCGGGCCGGCGGCGCTGGGCAGCGGCGACGTCCCGCGTCATGGCAGAAGGCCACGCCTTTCTGTCGGTTCCTGCGCATAACTGCATCCAGCAGTCTCCCTCACGAATAAAACTGTACGCCTATGTAACACACGCGTCCCTGGCTGCTCATGAAGTCAACCCGTCAGCCATGAGATCCGCTCGCGTGTTCGATGTCGCGTAAAGCTATCTACCGCGGCAAAATTTCGTGTTCTGGCCCTTTTCGCATAAAAATTCAGGATCTGACCTCGGTTGGAAATAATTTCAGAATTTGACCCTTTTGCTATCGTCAGGGGTTCTGGCGGTAGGCTTAGACAGGCTACCGCGAGGGGCCCTGGCGGTAGGGTGCGACGGAGGGGAACGGCGGCCGTTTGCCCGACCTGACGTGGATAAGTACCCTACCACCAGGGACCCTGGCGGTAGCCTGTCTAAACCTACCGCCAGAACCCCCGGCGGTAGGTGGTGGCTGGGTTTTTGCCTCGGAAAGTTTCTGTAACGGAATATCAAAGTGCCCTGGCAGTAGGTTCACCCTACCACTAGGGAGGTTGACGGTAGATTGTGTGACCCTACCGTCAAGGTCCGTGGCGGTAGGTCCTGTGTTTTATGGTTTCAAGTTTAACTGTTTGCTTCTTTTCAATATCAATATCACAGCAATGATATAGAGCCTAAAAAACAGATCTCAAACAATTAAACTTGGACATCACATACACATTACTAAAATTTGAAGTACATATCAAACGAAGTTCAACTAATTAGCAAACGGAGTTCCACATATAGCAAACACATAGTTTCATGAATAGCAAACATATAGTTCCACATAGTTTCATAACCACTAGACAACTACAATAGCCAAGTATTCAAGAGCCGAATTACTTGCTCTTGCCCCTCTTGGAGGTACGGTCCTTGTTCCTCTTTGAACGAGTCTCTTCAGTCTTCTTCTTGGGCCGTCGAGTAACCAGTCTCTGGAAAGAGTCTGGACTCAGCAAATCCTTCTTCTTTGGATTCCTCTTTGGCAGTTGAGATGGTTTAGATGATTGAGTTGGTGGAGGTCCATAATCTTCATCGTACTCCTCCTCCCCATTGCTCTCATCCTCCTCTTCTGCACGATACTCCTCCTCCTCCCCTTCTTCATGTGTGGCCTCCTCATCCTCCTCCTCATCCTCCTCCTCCACCTCCTCCTCCTCCTCCTCCTCCTCCTCAATCAACCTAGACGACGAGGGAACATGGCTCGATGAGCCGATGTGACCCTGTGTGGCTGCAGGATGATAAGCTTCAACCGGCCCAGCTCCAGCACACCCAAGCAGGCCTACCAGCTTGCGACAGCGCTTCACGAACTTCTGCACTCACAATGAAACAAGGGCATAATAAGTATCAGATTTATGATTCCAAGTGAACAAGATGCATCTGTTTCGAGGAGGCTGAAATTGTACCTTCATCGTCACCCTCACTTTGTTCTCAGATTGTACGCTCCCGGGGGCATCACCTAGTGCATTTGAGGCTTCAAAGATGCATCTGTTCAACTCACCGGACTGTAATGACATAAGTCAGTCATGATGACGAATAAAATAATTTAAATACAACCGTCGGTTCAAACTTACCACTCTATTGATGAGGGGTGCAAACTCCCTAAATCCACTATGCACGTCTCTGATGCGGTCTGGTAGGCCTCTTCCTCAGGGTCATCCCTCTCTAGCTCCGCGATGTCCTCCGCCGTCCACCGAGGCCTGAGACAAAGACGGTGCTTCTGGCCATCATCGTACCACCTCATGTGTCGGCCCAGGTAAGCATCCCAGTCAGTCACTTTCCTCTCCCCATCTTTACGGAACCTCCGTCGGTTCCACTCCGTCACATGAGTTTTATGCTCCTCTCCCCAGTCTATGATCGACTAATTCTTCTGCCAGCTCATCCTGCAAGGCATAGGCCACAAGAAACATCATAATAAAGTCGAATGCAATGAAATCATGGGCGCGAAGAACAAGCGCGCTCACATGTGGAGCGCGTGGCCGCCGGTATCAGTCGACGGGCCCGGTGGGGTATGCTGATACATCCCAAACTGCGTGGCCACGCGGTGTGGCAAGTGTCACTCGACGACGTACACACAGATCATGGGCACGATGCACCGCCAAAGACCACTGTCCGCATCGCACATCACGTTCAGATCGAAGTCCAACTCTCGGTCATGATACGGCCACCAGTTTACCTATTACATATACATTGGTAAGTTCCCACTCTCGGTCAAAAGTGGAATCAAAGAGAAAGGTGGTGAGCGAGTTCATATACCTGCGTATGCATCAAAGCGTCCAACTCGTTGGTGAAGGTCTTGTACGAAGTCTTGTTCAGGCCCGTGTAGAGTTTGACAACGTCCCACTCGTAAGCTACGGTGAGGTGTCGATTCGCGTCGCCGTCTTTGCTATAGGCACCCCATGGGCGTCTGGCATCTTCTTAGGATGCCCCACCGACAGCCGTTCCCACATCCAAATGGAGAGGGGCCACACAAAGCCACCCATATTACACTTGTCTCCCGTCCTCTAGGTTGCGTCGTCAAGCTGCAAAACATCAAATGAGGATCAGATATAACAAAATGTCATGGACATACTTTTGTACCAAACGGTATAGGTAGGCAATGAGATACTCTCTTATCGAACGATATAGGTAGGCGAGAGATGCGGTCCCCCAACTGCACCCTGCATCCTAGTCGGCTAGGAAGAACAGATATGACCAGTTGGCAGAGTTCCCGGAGCTGTCTGGAAACACGACCTCCGTGAGAAGATACCATAGGTAGGCCCTCGCGTACCACTCCACAGTCACCTCATCGGCGTCTTCAGGGCATGTCTTCTGATGCTCCGAGAGCCAGGGCAATGGTACACCGGATGTACGGTTACCCTTAGCACCGGGGCAGTCGCCGATGAGGGTGGTAACCCTCTGCTGCCAGTTGGTCCTCTCCACTCGCCCGGTGAGTGCTTGACCCTCGATCAGCATGGCAGTAATCATCGACCAATCCTCGAGGGTCACCGTCATCTCTCCGCATGGTAGATGGAAAGAATGGGCCTTCGGTCGCCATCGGTCAATCAAAGCTGTCAGAGTTGCATGGACAAGCGTCGGCGGCTGACGCTTGAACTGCAACACGAAACCCAACAGTCGGCTCTCTTGAAGTACGACGTGTAGCGCTCGTCGTAGTCCATATTCCTGGCAACCCCGTGACCCCTCATGCGTAGTGGCTGGAGCATCTGTCAAAAAGTGGACGACAAAAGTTAGGAACTTATTTTCATCAATCCGAAAACTTAGATCAATATTTCTTTCATATTACTTACCACTCCGTTCTCTATGAAACGGGCACGATGACCCTTGTCGAATGCATAGTCAAGCATGGAGTACCATGGGACGATGTTGTCCGCAAGAGGTGCCCGCCTTAAGAAAATTTCAAAAACAAAAGCATCATAAGCATAAGCATACATAAACAAAAAATGAAATTTCTTGGTTACATGAATTAGGGTTCATCTTCCAACATGCATATTCCTCCAACAACATCTACTACACATGATGGATCACATCATATCAACATGCATCA